CATTCCACCCCATTTACCCACGTTCACTGAAAGGAATCCACATTTCACCCAGTTTATCTTTGTTTATTTACCCCCACCTCATACCCCGTTTACCCATGTTTACCCCGAGTTATCTACATTTTACCCCGTTTATAAACATTTTATTCTGTCTATACACTTTTACTTATAGTAACCCATGTCTCATCCCATTTCCCAACTTACCCCAAGTCACCCACCTGTCGTCCCGTTTATCCATGGTTACTCCAATTTACCTAAATGTTTCCCACATTCAATCAACGGTGGCCACCCAATTTACCCATGCCAGGTGTGTTTACCCTTCGTTACCTGCATTTAACCCCTAGTTATCCACGTTTGTTTTAGACCATTCAGGTATTCCCAGAAGCATCACTATCAGCGATGATCGAAGTAAGTTAATTATCTCTTCCTTTCAGCATTTTTTATTATGTATCGCGTGAATAGAGAGCTTTAAATTCTGAGACGAGGACGACTACGGGTACGAGTTTTTCTCAGTACTTAGTGAGTACTAAGTAGTGCTCTTCCGTGAACCAACGTCATTTTGGCGGGAAAACGTGATAGCCGTCGTCGTTCTACTACGAGCTTTAGTGAGGGTGTTGTAGTGGCAGGAACAAGTTATCAAATTTTAGAAGTTTTAAAATCATTTTGCAACAGGAAAAGGGCTAAACCTTCTCCAATAAAAATAATCGTACCAACTTTTCAGGTGTAAAATGGTACAATGAAGCTTTCAGAGTTGAATATTTTTCGACAATACGCGAAAAAACTTTAAGTCAAATCTCGTACTCGTAGTCATCCTCGTCCTCAAATCTTAAGCATTCTAATGTATGGAATATTGTTTCAAAGTTGCTGATTTAATCTGATAACCTTTTCCGTGCGTTTTTATTCGTTGAGGCAAAAAGCGCACTACCAGTACGAGAGTTGACCAGAGTAAGGAGATTAAAAATCTTCCTTAATGTTTTTTTTCTTTTTCCTTTCATTAATTGTATCATTATATGTCATAATTTGAAAATTTATTTTGTCATCTAATGAACTGGTTATTGTACAACAGGTAACTGAGTTAATAGTACTCCTCATGTGGTACCAACGTTGATCAGAGTAAGTGGATTTTTTTGCTTCAGTTTTTGATTTCATCTACTGTTCATTTTGTTTTATCCATCAGGAAACAGTACCACCGGCAGGGTTGATCCGCAGAGTAAGTGGATTTTCTGTTTATCCAAGTGTTTGTTCATTTCTGCCTGTTTGTACATTTAAGGCCGCGGGAGAAACCTTGGCTATCTATATAATTATGAATAAAATTAATTAATTATTCATTCAAAATATTACTCCGATTCTGATTGGCTAAAAGCATACACATAATTCACTATAACCAGCCTCTAATGACCAAATTTGGAAGAATTTTGCGATTAATCAACCGATGACGTCAAAAGTGAAGCTTCCTTGCAGGTTAATGCACCTTAACCGAGAGGACCTGGGGACGACGTTGAGTTGTTTTGGTTGTAAAAACAAAAATGGCGGACATTTCACTCGTTTCAAGAGTAAGGACTAGACGAAATAATAGCTAAAAACATGGCAAGAACAGCAAGAAGACAGCTCGAAGGGGGACATCTGCTATTTGGAGAATATTTGCGGAGCTGAACAACCCTAAACGTGCACTATTGAAGATGAACTTAGCATCGATGCAGGTAAGAATGTTTTAGCTATGTTTTTAAACTAGGAATCATTTTGAATGAATAATAAAACAATTATTGAATTCGGCTTTCGTATGATATGAAGAATTATGGAGATCTCGGAGGGTGTTATCCGCCTCGACCTACGGCCTCGATCGATAACACCCTCCTCAATCTCCATAATTCTTCATAAGATACTCAGCCTCATTCATTAATTGTTAAATAAAGGAAATTTTTTTCTTGAGCTACGTCTTTTAAAACGCTTATACTTCGGCTGTTTAGAGGCAATTTAGATACAAATTTTACAGAGACACTGTGAATTGTTGGAAATTTAAAAAAGGTTTTTTTTGGTAGTCTTGTAAAAAATTGGGAAATCGTGATTTTGTGTGCAAGTTTGCGCAAAAAAAATAGAAGACAGTGAGCTGTACAATAAAACAGCCCATAGGACTCACAATAACACGGTTTCCTAGTTTATTCCGCACCGAACGAACTCACACAACTCTCACTAAACTCGGTGAAACAAGGAAAAGTCGCGCTCTATTTCTTTTTTGTCCTGTCCCCTTCTAGCTTACTCAGCTCGCACGTGCTCATTACCTTATTTGGTAGCCCTAGCCCTAATTTGGTAGTGCTACTCAACGTCACAAAACTGTGAGGGGTAGTGTTGGTAAATCCCTCGTACAGACAGTACTCGGCTGTGATTTTATTAATAAATGAAATATATCGGTCAAAACCTCTAGACAGTGTGTTTTGTATTGAGTAGATTTTGCAATTTAAAGTTTACCAGCAAGATACAATCGTTTAAATAAGCAAAATTTGTTATCCTTGAAATTAACGCCTTATATCTTTTTATCAAAGCGCTCTTTTAGAATTCCGCACAATACAAAACATACTACAGTCTACCAGGTTTGCCCCTCTGCATTGCCAGCTCTTGAAGTTTTGTATCTTCGCTGAATTCGTAGACATAAATTGTCGAAAGAGTCAAGTTTTGAGACTCCCGAAGGCACGAGTTCCCAACCTCGTCCCCACGGCTTTTCCCCCAAAAAATGGGTGGGGCGGGTAAAGACCCTGGCATCGGCTGGTCACGTGTACAGCCTAAATATTCCTGAGAATCTAATTTATATGCAACCAGCTGGTTTTGCGCTGACAAAAGGGAGAAACAATGGAAAATAATAACATCGGGAACTATGTCAATATTTTCGCGTGTGTGCGATTCAAAAGCTTAAGATCCATTTAATTGTGCATCATTCAAATGCTAGAAGTTTATGAAAGGGCGTACCGGCTCTACGTTGTCACGTACAAAATATATAAAATGCTTCAGCGTTGAGACAAGCTGTTATCGACTAGTACTTCAACTAAAGTTCATCGCGACTGTGGAATTACTGTACGATCAAGCGGAAAGTGATTTTGTTCAATGTCAAACAAAAATGCGGGCCTTTGCCTCCAGGATCTGCGGTGAATTTAAACAAATTGAACTTCATTGAAATAGAATTGTTCATCAAAATGCTTTATGGAGTCTGGTCTTCTCTACAACCCGACCATGAAACAAACAAATCTCCGCGCCGGGTGCAAGTCAGCCTCCAGCCAGGAACGATGACAGGTCGCTGATCTAAAACATTTGAAGACCTCTTATGTCTTTTCTCTTCCGAGGGTAGGTACAAAGGATTTTCCTTATATTAAAGAGAAGATTGACTGATCGATTGGAATCAGCTACAGCTCTGTCGATTTTAAATGGACCCAAATCTTTCTTTGTTGCAAGTCGTTTGATCGCAGAGGTCAATGAATTTTTTCAAAAATACGGGTCAAACAGGAAAGGTCTAAACCAACGCGTGTCGCTATGATATGGCTGAGAGTTAAGGTGAATAGAACTAGGCTGTTTACGGCGGCCCTCTTCTCACGAAATGAAATAAAATATCAGAAGAGTAGAGAAAGCGGACTTTTCCAGTACAACCTTTATGCATGTTCGATAGCTTGTTTGTCATATATATATTATACCGCTCTACAAACAGAAGTTTTACAAATGTCACTCGCTGTCCCCTTCATAGAAATCGTAGGAAAGGAAAAAATTACCGTAGCCAGTATTTGTGACTAAAAGGAACCCTTTTAAAACTTTTCGTTAATCGTCAAGAGATATAATAGGTCGCCCAAGATCGCGCGCTGTGAGGTTACGCATTATTTGAGCTTTTCACATGGCGCTAATTTATTACACCCAGGATTTTAGGGTGTACGAGGAGACACGTGACCAGCCGATGCCAGGGCCTTTTCTCACCCCACCCATTTTTTGAGGGAAAAGTTCTAGGGACGAGGTGGGGACGAGGTTGCACGAGTTCCAAGCAAGATACGTCTCTACGGTAATTATAGTTAATTATATTCCACGCTTTAATTTTGCTTCATATAAGGTGCAATATTTTCAAGGATTTTTGAGGTGAAAAAAAGAAACGTATAAAGAGTTTTGGTGTCAAAAATGGTTGAAATTCCGAAAGATTTCCTTATTTTTATATTTCCATATTATTAAAAATCACTGAAAAAAGGTTTGATTCCATTTAGAGCCCGCTGAACACTCTAAATTATGCGCCCATCTTATCATTTATGATTTGAGAACACACTTGACCAATAACAAATGGAAGCCATGTGCACGTGCGGTTGTCCTACGATTCTGACTAATAAACGGAGAGATTGACAGCTTTTACATCAAGTAATATATTTTGTCACCAAGTGTGAAGTTACATGTCCCCTGGGACCTTATACTCCTAATTGTTCTCGCGTCCGAGAGTTTTAGCGGTAATGTTACCATTGTAGAGACTTTGCCGTGAGAAAATTCTAATTTGAAAGCGTCTCTTCCCCATTCTCCGCTCGGCCTCGCAGCTCCTTTATCTGCCAAAACTTTGCTCTCGCTTAATAAAACTTTCAATAAGGATTAAAGAAGGTTTTCCGCGTCTCTAACGTTTGATTCTATTTGCGATGACCCAGAAATTGAACGCTAACAGCATCTGCCTATGTAGCGCATATAAAATTATACCCGATGTTAATTGCCCTTAGCCTGCGTCGCAGAGGTTCTAAACATTCCGTATAGACGGACTATAAGAAAGGTTTAGGCGATGTGTGGGCCGGCTGCAACGCAGGATAATTGCCCTCAACCAGCAGCAAATTCCTGGCAGTGTCCTAGTGTCCGAGTTCTTTTTGTTTTTTCACGTCGATTTTCAACTCTCTCAGATCCTCGGTGACAACTCTAAATGCTTCGCGAAGTGCAGCTTGAACGATCCCAGACAAACTCACTGGATTTTTTAAAATCCGTGAATAGTATGACAGGGCGGCAATTTGGACCTAAAAAAACACTGACTACCAAAATTTTGAAGATGACGTTTATTTCATCCTCGAAATGAGATGACATATAATTTCTCCTCCTCAGTGGCTTTGAAGGAAGCAAGCGAGATTTCAGCTGGTCCGTTAAGTTGAAATAAGAAAATAAAACAGACAATGCCTCACGGAAATAAACAAAGGGTCCTAAAACTTATATATTTTTGTTCTACGCAGGGCACTAATGTAGAATCACAACCAAAGCTTACAGGCGAGTCAGAAAAGGATGCTAAAGTGCATGAACAAGTGGCTGAGTTGGCGATCGAGGAAGGCATGTGTGTAGGATACCTTGGACGAGCCAAAAAAGGGGTAGAAGTAAAGTCTGATGATGAAACTGAAACTGAATATAATGCAGAAGGAGAGAAAGTTATTGAAGTAGAATCCGGAGCAAGTCTAACAAGTGATGGTACCAGCTGGACCTTCAATGAGTGGGCTGTTCACCTATGTTTCCCTCTTGATGCTGTATCTGAGCGTGTGTCAATAGTGGTCCACAGATGGAAATACAGTGACCGTTCACCCCCGCTGCAGGAGCATGAAGCCATCACTAGCAATGTTATTGAACTATCTTCCTTGAATGGCCAAAAACTAAAATTTAACAACAAAGTGAAGCTGTCATTATCTCACAGTTCAACAGACCTACAGGGCTATGAGATAGTGATAAAAAAGCTGATTGACAAGGAAACGAATACTTGGGAAGACGTGGATGAAACCAGAGACATACGTTTTGACTTCGCAGACAATCATCCTCCCGGCATGAAAATACCGGACGTTTTCTTTCCAGTTGCTCAAGCTGATATAACCGAGTGCTCAACATATGCAGTAGTTTGCCGTCTCAAGGCTTCTTCCGCTTACACCATCACATCTGATGGTGGCTCATTCAGCCATCCTGAGTTTCCTGGCGTGACAGTTACAATCCCTGAGAATTCTGTTGCACTGGACGCAAAGTTTCCGTTTGAGTTGAAGGTGCAACAAGTTCCAAATGAAGAATTTGAGGAGAACGGTATATTTCTTGGACCTGTATTGCGAATCAAGTGCAATGAAGCTGTTCAGTTCTTGAAACCTGTCACCATTCAGCTTCCAATTTCTCTTCGAGAGGAAAAAGTCTTGAATCTAAATCCCACAACTTGTCACGTCAGAGTGCTGTTTCTCAAGTCCGATAATGACCAAAAAGAATGGATTGATATCACTGATGATCTTGTGAAACCGCCAAGACTTGATGGACAGTTTGTAAGGTTCTATGCGGAACGGTTCTCTGGATATTCGTGTTATGTTAAGAGAAGAAACAAAAACTCCAGATTTAATGAACAAAGAATTCGAAATCGCCTTAATGGCAGCATTTCTGATCAGCCCAGATTAGCAGTCTTTTTCGCTTACTTTCGTCCTGATCATGTAAGAATTTTGTGTCTGAAGAGTTGCCTTGCTCACCTTAAAGTAAAGGTGTTAAGGGAGCTTAAAAAACAAGATATAACGCCTGTTTGCAACAACTCGAAGAGAGATATGACACCTGGGCACGATGAGGCATCAGTGTCAGTATCTGGAGGAATATACCCATATATAAGAAGGGAAATGGAGAAAATTTATCTTAGAATTTTAGAGCACTATCCAGATGATGCAGCGTTGGAGGTTCGTTTTCGTAATGACAAAGACTTAGCAATAGTGGAATTTCATAGCACCTCAAATGATAGAGCGCCTCCATTGTGCACATTGCTTTTAGGAATACCCATTCAGGGTACGGATCGTTCCAACTTGAGGGAACTTACAAGAAAGCCTAGTGCAGTGAAGGAAGGCAGTCCAACGGACAATGACCTAGAACATCTGTCAACAAAAATATCTCACGTTTGGAGAACGCTTGGGCGACGACTAACCTTCAATGAAGCACAGTTGAACGAATTTGATAGCAGACATGAACAAATATCCGAAAAAGCATATGCCATGTTGTTAGCCTGGAAACAAAGAGGCGGCTCAGATGCTACCTACAGTGTTCTGAAGCAAGCGCTGTGTGACAAGCGCGTTAACCGTAGAGATTTAGCACAAGAATTTTGTTGTTAATGAATTCGGTCTTTACTTTTTCCTTTCGACCTCACTTTAAAGCAATCTATTTCCCACTTATTATCGTTTAAATTTTATTTGCTTTTTTGTTCGTGTACAAGCAAAATCAAAAGAAATAAAACAAAGTAATTGTGTTGTATAGTGTAAGTAATGTATGCAAATAGATTTTGGTTTCGATCTTCTTAGAACGCGCGTAAATACACCAGAGTCTCTCTCTGAGTGTTGTCCATTTACTATTTTCGTATATTGGGCGTCGTCTGTGATACAATTTGTCTATTAACTACAACAGGTGGATAAGCACTATAATAAACGCATAAAAAGGATTAGGTCGGGTAGGTTACGTCTGCAGCATACAAGCCAAGTGGCTATATAAGCCCAGAGCTCATTCTTTGTTAGGGAGGGGGGGGGGGGGGGG